CCTTCAAAATTATTATATACGATGTTCAAATTGATTGTTAGAAGATCAAATATTTTTGCAATATTATCATTATATTTAAGTGTTCTACAAAATAATTTTAATAGACTAATAAAATTATTTTCAGATCTGTATTTGGTCAAATTTTTAGATTTGCCAGCAAAAATGTAGATTTCTTGCTGGATTTGCATGCTTGCTGTCGTGATGGCAGCGCTGCTGACAGTGATACTGACTGTCTTGCTAGTTTAGCTTCACACGAGTGCGAGTTTTCGTGATAGCTGGATAGAATTTTATAGAAAACACTTGACATATTTATTTATTTATTTATTTTTAAAAATATGTAGGAATATAGAAATAAAAAGCATTAGATAAGATGAATAAAGAAAGGTTAAATGTAAATATGAATGTATGTAAAAATTGTTAAATAAAAAATGTGAACGAAAATAAGCTTAGAATGTAAATGTAAATAAGAAGACAATAAATGTAAATTTAAAATGTAAATAGAGCTGGTAAATAGAGCTAGTAGGAGAAGTAGAAATAGCGTATAAATAAGAAATAATGCAGGTGAATAAATAAGTAACCTTTTTCGAGAATTATCATAAAACGTTATGTAAGTAATATATAATAACATATTAATATAAGTAATAAAAAGTTATTTATCTGTGAAAAAAGTTGTTTAAGTGCAATATTTTTTACAAATTATTATTAAAAGAATAAATAAAATATAAAAAATAAAAAATGTATTGGTTGCGTTTTTACACACAAATGGGAATAAACTATGATGATATAATTTTAAATATAAATATAGCCTAACTTTAACAAATTTGTCAAAATAGTAAAGAAAATGTCATTTGAAAATATAATTTTTTGCTTGGAATTAATGTTTATTTAAAAAATTATTCAATTTAAATCGGCGGTGCTTTTTTGATTGCTGGATTGCTTGTGTGCTCCTCTGCTGGCTCACTTTGAAAATTAATCAAGACATAGCTTTAGATCACGTGATCAAAATATTCCCTTTGACTATCAGATATTCTATCATTCCTCTGTTTGCTACAACTTGTCAAAGCGAAAATAAATATGACGAAAAAACAAATAAATTAAATAAATAAATTTGTCAAATGCTTTCTATAAAATTCTACCCACTCAACCAGCACGAAAACGCACCGTGGAGCTAAACTAGCAAGACAGCATCGCTGTCATCATGACAGCAAGCATGCAAATCCAACAAGAAATCTAGCAGCCAAAAAAGCGTGTGCTGGCTTTAAATGCAATGACGCGAAATGACATGATATTAATAATTGCATTATATAATGGTAACGTGAGTTCGCAATTTTATGCATAACATAAATTATAAAAGCACTAGTCGTTTGAACGAACGTTTGTTATGAGAATTTGTTCTATCGATCTTTTTAATTATCGTTGACTTGTTGATAAATCGTAAGTAAGCAAATGAATAAATATTATATAAATTTCTCTATAAATGCAAAGCCAAAGCTTAAAAATAATTTTAATAATATTGTATAATATTTAATTATCGATTATGTTTTATTCTGTGTTTCTGTGAATATTATTGCTTCTCACAAATTCTAAATCGAAAATTTAAAATTAAAATAAAGCATGGAAGCTTGTATTTAACTCAATATTATATATAGATTTCTATATATGTTTATTTTTTTTGTTTTTGATAATAATATGTATATAATTTGTAAAAATAAACGAATAATGTAAATATAATGAATACATTAAGTTAATAAGAATTATATATCTTCGTAAATTACATTTATCAACGCTTATTTTATCAACGCTTCTAGTAAAAAAGAAATAAATAACAGATGCCGTAGTCATATATCCAATAGTTATATCCAGTAGTCATTGTCTAATATGACAGCAACCATATTAGAAACTTCTGATATAAAATCTAAAGAATCTATAAACGATAAAGTACCAGCAAAAGAATTATACAATAGTAATTACAAATGGAAAATTGTTTGGAAGAATGTCGTTATATTCGCCTATGTTCATCTTGCCGCCATTTATGGTCTATATTTGTGTTTCTTCAAGGCTAAATATTGGACAATTATATGGTGTACGTATTTATTTACTTTTTTTAAAATCTAGATTACATTTTACAAGCTTTGTTAAACAATATAACTTATAACAATAATGAACAGTAATTTTTAGTTTTAGGTATTGTTGTCGCTTCAAGTTTAGGTACCACCTAAACTTGAAGCGACAACCTGCCGGTGCTCATAGATTATGGTCCCATCGATCTTACAAGGCAAAATGGCCCATGAAATTTATCCTTATGATTTTCCAATCTGCTTCTTTTCAAGTAAGTTTAATCTCTTCTATCTTCTCTCATTAAAGTAACAAACAAAATAACATTCGAATTAATTAGAGATTAAAATTATACATTTTGTTTTTTCACAATAAAATTTTATATCATAATGATCAATATCAATATCTTGTATTATTATTTATATTCAGGATGATATTTACACATGGGTCAGAGATCACCGTGTTCATCACAAATTTACCGATACAGATGCAGATCCATATAACGCACGCAGAGGATTCTTCTTCTCGCATATCGGTTGGCTTCTGACTCGTAAACATCCTGATGTTGCGAGCAAAGGTGCCACGGTTGATTGCAGCGATCTCGAGCAGGATCCATTCGTGATTTTCCAAAAAAAGTACGGTACATATAATTCTTTTTTTAATAAAACCAATTATGCATTAATTTTTAGTCAATTCTATTGACTTATCCTGCGTTTATATTTCTTTTTTTAGATGGTATTTATACTTAATGCCACTCTGCACCTTTATTATACCAACATTAGTACCTTGGTGGGCATGGGGCGAAAGTTTCTGGTATTCATGGCACGTTGCGGTCTGCAGATATTGTACAAATCTAAACATTACCTGGTCTGTCAATTCCGCGGCTCATATGTGGGGTGTAAAACCATACGATAAGTACGTATTTCTGATATTATAAAAACAAATAAAATATATAAAAATTAACGAATATTTGTTTACAATAATCTGCAAACTGCTGTTGCTTAGAAAATCTAATAACTTAATATTATTGCTTAGAAAGAAAAGTTCATTTTATTCGCAGATCAATCACCTCCGTCAACAATGCTGCAGTCTCATTTTTAGCTCTTGGCGAAGGTTGGCATAATTATCATCATGTATTTCCTTGGGATTATAAAGCAGCAGAACTTGGAAATTATGGACTCAACTTTACCACAGCTTTCATCGACTTCTTCGCTTATTTAGGTTTGGCTTACGACTTGAAAACTGTACCTACAAATGTGATAAAGAAACGTGCTTTACGAAGCGGAGAAACATATTAAAAATAAATCTAACGATTAAGTAGAGCAAAACACAATCTCAATTTATTTTCTATCCAACAAATTGTCTTTTACGTACAATTATAAAATAATTTGTAAATACTAATTAGAATTATATATAAATATATACAGTTTATAATATTGCATAAAATCTTGTCTTTTATTATAATTTATGTTATGTTAATTGTTGTTTTAAATATGATCATTTAGTTCAAATATGATCACGTAAAAGAATATATATATTTTATTGCCATTTATACAACAAAATGGTATGCTTCTAGCGCTATATGTGTAAAAAATCTAATAAATAATATAATTAAAGCGTTTACAGCAATCGAAAAATATATGCGATTTTATATAATACAAAAATATTGATGTGTGTAAAGAATATCTTTTTTAAAGTTTAAATATATATTTTACAGCAATTTTAATCAATAATAACAGGTTTTTGTCAGTATACTATAGATACATATTTAGAATTAGTTGAGATGAAGTAATTAAACTAAAAAAGTGTTGAAAATAATAGATTGTCAAAATTATTGCATTATAAAAATAAAAATAGATTTGCACAAAATGTCACTCTTAAATTTTTAATTTCTTTTTTAAATCTTTTAATCTAAAAATTTAAGTAAAAGTTTTTGTATTTAAAATATATAAACATTAACATGTATAAATGTAAATTATTTTGCTATAATGTAAACTTAGAAATGAATAGAGAAATTTACAAAGATGAATTATGAAATAAGATTTCAAAATTTTGAATATCTATTTATGAGAATTTTTTCCAATTATTTTAAAATATTACTTATTTACTTTGTATAAATATAATTAAAATTAAAAATTTTAATTTATAATATTAATGACTCTAAAAAAGTGATAGCCTTTAATTTAAAAAAATAAAGTATAAATGATATGTATATCTTTGTATTAATTCAAAATTCTTTCTTGCAATTAATATCATAACACTATTACTTTTATATTGATAATTTTTTTGCACATATACACAAAACTCATCAAAATATATGATTTTTACGATGACTTACCATGAAGTAAGCGCAACGAAAGAACTAATCAACATCACGAAAAAAAGGCTTCAATATTTTGATCAATATTTCGAGATTTTGTTAACATGCCTTTTTTAAAAAAATTATAATATTAATACTAATACTTACTATACATATATTATACACTGAGGTATCGGGTAACAGTCGTATCACTTCTCGTAGACAAATAGAGCAGATTGTATTAAATAGAGAAGTTAAACCATTTTGCGATTTTCGCAATAATTGAAAAATTATTATTTATACATATTCTTGAATGAGCAAGCATTTATACAAAAGAACAGCCTAGCATTCTTCATATTTATAAATGTTATGCGCGCGCCAATGTTGAAGGCATGCATTATAATAGACATTCTATCATAGAACACATTCAAACGTTTTACAACGCGCCCAGCAACTATAAAAGTGCGCATCTAACAAACACGTCTAGAAGCGAGTTGTTCTTTTGCTCAATTGAATATTTGCTCGTTCATGGATACTCACTGTATAAATTAATAACTTAAAAATCATAAAATAATTAGAACTTTTTTATTTATTCAATATAATCCTCTCTATTTATCAAGAGGTGACGGATCCTATATAATATGTACTAGTGTAATATCTGTACTAGTGTAATATGTTATATAAAACAAGAATATTTTTTTAAAAATAGAGAGTTTTGAACCTGACCTGAGAGTTTTAAACTGTAGAATGTCAATGCAAAGCTATTTATTACATTCTCAATTTTTTTATACAATATTATTTCGCACAATAAAAAATATAAATTCATGATGAACTTTATACATGTATTCTTGTAATTACTTTTCAGATATTTTTCTGGTACAATATGATAATTATAAAAATGTAATATATATGAAAGATAAATATTGCAGTCGGTAATATAAATAATTATGTTTGGAACTGTCATTTAGAACTTTTAGAGATTATATTGATGACAGATTGAGGTTACGGAACATATGTCTTAGAAAACATCGACGATCTTTTTGATATTCAATAACGATGACGATTCTCGCCATTTTACAATTACGTAACCTTTTAAAAGATCTTTTGCACTTTTGCAGAAGTTTGACAATGCATGATATGATTATTATTATGCGGTTTGTTGTCATGCGATAATCTTTATTAGAACCTTTGACTTTCGGACTTATATACGTGTCATGCAAATATATTGTGTCATTTTTATTAACTTGAATAGTCGTTTAAATAAAGATTAATTCTAACAAAATAATTATTTTTCCAATTGATATTTCTTTTACTAGTTTGGCAAATATATCAAAGTTCGTAATATTGTTATATTGAGTACCTTTCACTTTCTTATGTTATTAGATGGAAATTTCATTTTAAAAAAATTATGTCCTATGCTGCCATGGATTCAAAGGATTATATTTGTCTTAGAAAAATATCTTTAAGACTATCAGAAAGATGTCTTTTTGATATTGTTAAAAACATTTTTAAAAGTACATATCTTTAAGACAGCTTTTTCAAAACGTCTTTAAGACATATCCAAAAGATGTATTTATGATGTTTGGTAAAATCTTAAATAAAGACAAAATAAAATCTTAATAAAGACAAAAAATCTTTTATAAGTCTCGGTCCACAATAGACATTTAATCTTTAAGCCGTTAAGAAATTGACCTATCATAGTCGATTATTCTTTTCATATTAGATTATGATTGGTCAATTCTTACGTCTTAAAGCTTAAATCACCTATTGTGGACCGACACTAAGTCGTTTTTTAAATGTGTTTTATACATGCATGCTGTCATGGAAGCAAATATGAATATTGCAAACTTTATCAAAGTACAGAAAATGTCATTTAAAAAAATAATTGTGTGCTTAGAATCAATATTTATTTATAAAATTATTCAATTTAAATGCAGTGACCTGAAATGATACGATATGTTAATAAATGTATTAATCTGACAACGTTAGTTTTCAAGTTTTATACATAGTGTAGGTTATAAATGCAATTGTCGTTTGAATCGCGACAACTAGTCAAGAGTCTTAAAGGCAAATTTATTTATTTTGTATCTCAGACAAAAATTCTATTCATTTATAATTATGTAATAACTTAATTAATATAAGTATTTAACTGTAATAATAAAATGAAAATATACAACATTAATAAACCTAACTAAACTAAAATCAAAATATAACAAAAAACTAAATTAATTTTCTATAAAGGTGTAAATTCTTCGATTGAATTTAGAATAATTATCTTTCATAGCAAAAAATTAAATCTATTGCTAAACGTTATTACAAGAATCGTCGCTTTTGCCTACATAAAAATGTAGTGAAATGTATTTAATATGCCAGTATTGTAAACTTTAATATATTTACTAAACATCCCTTTTTAAAAAGGGATATATTAATATCAAAACTCTAAAGTTTCAAATCTCTCAAAGTTTATTGTTGCCTCTTTTCCGCAATGCCAATTCTTGCGTTACTTATAAAAGAAAACGTTAACAAAAAAATAACAATTATCCTATAATCAAATGTTTTTTTAAAAGACACAATCATAATACGTTGCATGCAAATTTATTGTTAATGACACAGTAAATTTGCATGCAACGTATTATGATTGATACATTAATGCAATAACATGCAACTTTGTGTGTAGATTACAAAAGCATGTCGTTTACTAACAGTATAATATGAAAATTCGTTTTATCAATAAGTGTTTGTTGCAAATGAATAAGAATATTTATAATACAAATAAAGCAAATAAACTTAAAAAAAGTTTTCTATTTCTCCTTTATATACTTACATATTTTAGATGTTTTTATTTTTATTAAATTTTATAATTTTCATAAATTATTGTGCTTTGTTGTCAAGATTGTAGGGAATGAAATTTTGATACTTTGCATTTTGAAAATTTGCAAATTATATATAATTATATTACATATAAAATTATATTTTTGAGCGTAACATCATATTATTGCCAAATCAAATTTTTAAAACTAATTAAAAGTTTTGAGAATTATGTTTTTTTCTTAATTAGATTTAATTTAATTCAAAAGATATTTAATTGTTTATTGATTGCCGTACCGAATGAAAAGTTTTCAAAATATTTTCCAAATCTGTTTTATTAATATTGTTTTATTAAAAATT